ATGGCAACATTAGCCAAAACATGCAGTCAGTCGGAAGGAAATATAACGGTTCTAATCTTTTTAAAGAAATATTTTCACTGTGGCAACATTAGCAACAGCAATCCATCAGACATAAAATATAATAGTTATACTCTTTGAAGTCATTTCTACGATGTGGCAACATAAGCAACAAACAAATTCTCAGAAAGTAAAATGTCAGTTTTAATCTTTAATGTTTTATCTGCAGTATGGCCACATCCATTGTGTAGTTAGAGAGTTAGTGCTGTCAAAGTTTGGACAAGAATCATGGGACACCATCTTGTAAGTTTACCATATGTTACTGTTGTTGTTGTTGTTGTTGTTGTTGATGCTGTTGTTTATTTGTAAATGTCATGCGCGGAAGAAAAAAAAACCTCAAACGAGAAGTAGAAATAGCTTCTGAATAAAGAAGAGTCACGAATGTTTCTCCTTCTTCATCTTCGCTTCCTTTTTTTTACTACTTCGGTGTCGAGAGAGATAGGTTCACTTTCTGGATTTTCTGGCTTCCTTGACTATAGATACATCTTGTTGCTGAAGAATTGCTCTGACATCATCTTTCTCACTTGTTCTTGATCTCCCCGTTTTTCTTCTTTTTTGTTGTAGGCATTGTATGGTATGGTGTCAAAGACATTTTCTCAAAGTGGGAAAACCATTTGATTTACTATTTAAAATAGAAAAACATGTAATTTAGAGTTGATTCTGTGCCGCCTTTTGTTTGTTTGTTTTGTTTAACTTTTAATTGCATTCCTTATTTTATTTCTTCTGGTCAGTTTTGCAGCCCTATCAGACATATCATTTCCATGGTTACTCATGTTCTTTTCTGGTTTGTTGTGAGTGACCATCTCTGGCATTGGCAGTATTCCACAGGACGCTGCAGAACCAACCCCAGCATCCCCTAGCTGTTGTGGTTTTAACTGGCAAACCTACGTCCATTAGTTTGCCATTGCTTTTAAGACGGCCGGCCTCTGCATACCAGTGTCGAAACCAACGCAAGGCCCGAAGCTGGGATCGAACCCGTACCCCGGCATTACGATGTGTGTGTATGGGTGGGTGGGTAGGAGGGGGGAGGGGGGGGGGTGCTGACTGTCTTAAAACTTGGTTTGCTCTGCTGTGTACGATGTTGATTTTTATATATTTTTTAGTTTCTCATGTTCGGTCAATATTGTTCTCCTACATTTAAACTCAAATGCATGTTTAATGCCTTTGCACTCTACTGCTATATTTAGGTCCCTTCCCCTTGTTGACATTACATGATTGTATACAAAACAGAAGGACAGAAACAATAAATTCCACTCAAAAAATTGACCGGATATTACACTGTATCTGATCAATGCATTACTTACTACAGAGTTTAACTCACATCCATATAAAAAGACACAAAAAACACGAAGCCTTTCAACAAATCACACTGTTTTAATAAACTAAACACATTAACAAATTGCCTTCAACATCTGAATGGAACAGACAAGAACTGTTTATTCATCTCAGCGATCTGCGGAATCAATTAATTTGTACACTCATATTTTCTGTTTAAAGTATTTTTAAATTTATTGATTTTAAAATTAGTCGACGTAATTCATTTCATTCCCGAAGCAGCGATAAGATGATATCACCATTGTCAACAAGGCGGCAATAACAAAGCTCTAGGTATACTGTGCATTTTAAACATGTTGCCCTCACACACAACCAAACCTCTGTTTAACTTCGCTGTGCTGTAGGTGCCGTCTTGGTTATACTGTTAGCCCACACATCGGCTACGGGCTTGCCGGTAAACGACTTCGTCGCCGGTCGGGAAGTATTTGGGTCTGTCTCCTTTGATCGCATCAACACTGCAGGAGTTCTTTTTATGGCTCGTGGTGGCGCGCTGAGCTAAGCCATGTTACGAGTATATAGAACATAATCTGGTCACAATTATAACCTTAAGCTCCCCCTTTAGAGATGCTGGTTGAACATGACGATTTTTTTTAACATAGCATCGGATCGGATCGTTAGCACACCAGAACCTTGAAACACAGGCACACTTATTGCGAACTGTAGCATAGCATCGGATCGGATCGTTAGCACACAAGAACCTCGAAACACAGCCACACTCATTGCGAACCGTACCATATCATGAATGAGAGTTGTGCTGAACCTTGACTGATGTCAAGATGCTGGGCTGTGCCACTCACAGTCAGTGGGCGGTTTTCCTGTGCTAGGCCTTCTAAACCAACTGTAAACATCCACAAAGACCCTTTCAGCAGACTCAGCAGAAAGCAATGTACAAAAACTGTCCGTCTACGAACAGGACAATGCAGGCTAAATTATCTCATGTATAAAATAAAGACTGTACAGTCCCAAAAGTGTGCCTGTCAGACAGGAACAAAATCATAGGGGCGTATTCTGCAACCTTACGCCTCTCTACCGGCAACTTCCAAAAGAAACCTGGTCTCAGTAGCGAACTGTGCAGAGCAAGCTACGGAAAATCATGAACGACCTGCAGCTGACATGCGAATTCCTAGCGGCAACCCACCTAACAGTCTGACCTTGACATATTCATGGCATTGTGGTGCTGGGGTGTCTTTGGATTACCTACCACCCCGGGCAGCAGCCAGAAATGCCCTGTACCAGTTCTAAAGGAAATATGGGTTGTGTTTCTGCCTTCCCCTTTAACACGTAGCTAAGGTGGGGCTCACAGTGTGGTCGTTCCCCGCCACCAGATTGCCTGCTGGTTTCGTTGAGCTCTTCCTGGATCTAAGCATGGCCTCAGCATGAGTAGTTGGGGCAACTGGATTGTCTAACAAGAAGGGACCAGGCCACCATCTTCAGACTTAGAACACAACATACTCCATTCAGTGGACATCTAAACAGAATACAGCCATAACACTCCACAGAGTGCCAGCTATGTAACTACCCCTACGAAACTGTTGAACACCATCTCTTTGAGTGCCCAAAACTCAAACTAGAAGAATGCTACTCCCTCCGAGACCAGACAAGTGGAACACCTTGTACGAAAAAAAAAGAACAGCTTGTGAAAACATGCAAATTCCACTGCATGGCATTGAGCCAAAGGGTGAATGCTCATTCGCCGCTGGATTGATAACAACAACAACAACGACGGTCTGACCTGAGCATACAAAACCGAACGCCAAGAAGAAGTAATATGCCTTCAACAGCAGCAATAGAATCTGAGGTTACTACTCAATGTGCCCGATCATAAACAGTCTGTCACAGAGGTCACGTCAATTTGAAAACCTTCCTTCTCCACTCATACATTCACCGAGTGACAAGCATTCATACACCGTACTAGACCTTTTTTCGCCGATAAATCTGTATAGACTTAACCATTACAATTATAAGTAAAAAACAAACATAGTACATTTCAAAAGTGAGGCAGCAATTTTAAACTGCTATTTTGACCCAACTGTGTTCGTCTGCACCCTGGAGCCACGTGCTTAATACTAGTGTTATTCTTTGGGCCAACACTTACAGGTTACAAGACAACGGCATGCTTATCACAATTTCTATTTTTTTTTAAAAAAAGCTAAAAAGTACTCTTCATATCCAAGTTATAACTCATAAGGGATTAACACGATATCTAGATAAATTACTAGTAAAATAAAAAATGTACAGATCCCTTTTCATGCCTTTCGGCACCCCCATATTTTTAAAGACCAATCGGCACTGGGTAAGTATTGTGTTCAGCATACGCCGGCCGTCTTTACTTCTCCGGGACATACATCCTGATACCCATTTTAGGCTGGGTCGACCTGCGACGCCCCATATCACAATAAAAATCCACGCCGCCAGCAGTGGGTTTCGATCGCGGTACATTGGAATTCGAGTCGGACTCGCAACGCCTGAGCCACGGACGCCGCTAATTAAATTACTACTGCTTCTCAAATACAGCAAGCAGCAGCCACACATTTAGCCATCAATTGAAAAACAATAAATCATTTATTACTTTATATGATTATAAACAATGATAACCGTTGTCGCAGCGGCAAGTTAAGATTGCCAGCAGACGCAATGATTGCAAAAACAAGAAGTCTGGTCATACGTTTAATTGATTTTGAACAATTGAAAAAACAAAAACAAAAAACAAAATCTTTTCATCACATTCGTGAAACACCCAAGAAACAACACACACACACACACACACACACACACACACACACACATACACACACACGCACACACACACACACACACACAGACATCAAATTCGTAGATTGATTGATTTCTACTTTCTGTACTAAATGAGGGGTAGTTATATAAATTGAGTGTCCGCTGTGTGATTAAGTCGATGCGAATACTTCGTAATGCCGGGATGCCGGGTTCGATCCCCGCTGCGAGCCATGCACCTTGCGTTTGTTTCGACAGTGGTATCAAAAAAGCCGACCGTCCAGATAAATAGCAAACTACTGGACGTAAATTTGCCTAGAAAAACCACACAACTGCCAGGGGCTGTTGGGGCTGGTTCTGCGACGTCCTGTAAAGAATACGCAACTAACCTTCATATAAATTGAAGGAGATAACGCAGACTCAATATTAGTTAGTAGAGAAATTTAGGTCAAGGCCGCTGACACAAAGAAACTAGTGTCACCCAACCCTTCAAGTGAAAAAAAATAATAACAATAATAATTAAGTAAAGTAAAGTTTGTTACCACCTTCAGGTGTATTGGGCATATAGGGCTAGATCTATATTTTATAGACCAGTTGGCACTTGATGTGTGAGGGGGTCAGCAATCGCCAGCTGCATTTACTTCCCAGCACTTTACATGGTACCCATTTAAGGCTAGGTCGACACAGGAGCGAGCCAAGGTCATTTTCATAAGGACATGACCCACCACGTTTCGATCCGCAGGCTGGTGTCTATCGGTTACACCACAGTGACTCTAAAAAAAAACAATAATAACAACTACAACAACAACAGCAACAATAAATCTGATAAAATATTTTTTTTAAAAACAATATATATGCAAACTAAAAAGAACTTTTAATCTTGCTTTAAAAGGAAACGGAAGAAGGGAAAAAAAAGGGAGAGAGGAAAACTTAGCCCACATCTGAATCACTGTCCTCGTGCGGCTTCGTGAGTCCTAATTTAGGGGGAATTTCCCTAACAAGTATGTCTTTGAGGGTGACTAGTTATGACTGCTTAATTCAAAGTCGGGATACGGAAAACTGCACTGAAGATTGTACAGGACAGGAAAGCATGGAAAGTCCTATCTGAAGCTGCATGTGCCACTAGGCATAACGAGGAGTGACGTTCGAAGTCGGAGTTTCACAATTAAACAATTCAG